TTCCAAGGAGAAACTACCAGAGTTTGGATGTGTTATCCCATCATAATTTTGCTGCAATTTTGCCGGGAGATTCAGTGGCGGGAATAGTGGTTACGAATGGGATTTTGAGTTTCTTGAACATTTACAACACATTGTTGGTTGTGAGGCTAGTTTTAACTTGGTTTCCAAATGCTCCTCCAGCAGTTGTCAGCCCCCTCAGGTATAATATCTAATATGTTGTCAATATCTATAGAAAAGAATGCAATTAACATGGCTGTGGTACGTGTTTCAGCACATTATGTGATCCATACTTGAATATATTCCGGGGCATCATTCCACCACTCGGAGGGACACTTGACCTTTCACCTATATTGGCATTTCTTGTTTTAAATGTCTTTACCAGCACTGCTTCTGCGCTCCCAGCCGAACTTCCATCCTCAGGACTTCATCAGAACGTTTCATCTCACGCAACAGCATCATCTCACCTTACGACATCACAGGAGAAATGGATGAGAAGGCTTGGTCGGAACAAGTCAAAAATATCCGCTGCTGGTGGAAATTAACTTGTTTTTCTCGCATTGCCTCTGTGATACTTAACCCAAAACACATGCTTGATATGTCTACTTTCGAGTGTAAATTCATTTGGCATCAATAAGGTAGCTCTATGTATGATTTATCGATATGTCTATGTCCAAGTACAACCATGAACGATACGGTCTGTGGGTACATATGCATCTAAGATCTAATACATTGTTATTTCTCCATTTTAATACTCTGGCAGAGGTGAATAACGAAGGAATACCTCCTCAGGTTCATTCAGGCTTAAAGGCTCAAATAGCGGATCCAACTTTAGTCCAATTATACGCACAAAAGGATTGGAATGTCCATTCAAAATTTCATCTGATATCTGCAGAACCAGAAACAAACAGAAAAAATAAAACAATGAGATACATAAACCTGTAGAAGGTAGGATCGAGAATATTTACAGGGGAAAAGAAATCTAAGTATTTATTATCCTGGCTTCCTGATTTTGGAAGAAAAAATTGGTATCTTTTTGGCATTACTTACCTGCGAACAACCATAGATTTTGAGCACCTTCAGTAAAGAGCAAAAATCAACAATGAGTCTCAGTTCCTCGTTAGTTATTCTGCGACACCATGATATATCCAAACTCAACAACTTTCTTGAATATTTGGCGAGTGAAAAGGCAGTATTCGGGCCGACCTGTTAAATTACAAGCAACAGATGGAGAAATTAAGCATAAATTTGTATTCAGAATCAAAAGCCTATCACAAAAAAATTAGGAAAATACAGTATCTAGAGGCAGCAAGTAATATAATGCATACGACAGATGACTGATCTTTGATACATCTGAATTGAAACTGAAACCAAAAACTATCACACCTTTTTCACATTTTTCAATACAAGTTCCATCAAAGACCCTCCAGAAGTTTTGAGGAATGCTGCAATAGCTTCATCACTGCA